ATAGATAAAGCCGGTACTGTATACAGTAAGCCCAAAAGGCACAATAAACATCAATAATCAGATTTTCTAACTTATTAAGTTCATAATACTAATTATAAAATAATAATAATAATAACGCACACACTCAAAATAGCCCCGCACTAGGGAAACCGTGTGTCACGGGTGCCATGGACACACATATAGACAACCACAAATTACACCCAAACTCACGAGAGAAATATATGTTGGCCATACAAATATTTCTCCCGGCCCGGGAGTCGAACCAGGGACCTCTGCGTGGCAGTCCGGTATGGTAACCGTTCGGCCACGCAAGCAGTTAAAAATGATTTTACTAAGCAATATATAAAACTGTGCCCTTGTTATGGAGTTCAATTACCATAATTGCATCTTAAATAACCAAAAAAAAGCGGACAACCGACTATAATTTGTGCCCTTTACTTGTATTTCCAACTCATCTATTAAAAATCACAATAGCCTAAAAAATTTAACTCCGAATTTTGAATTTGCTGTTTGTGCCTTTCTTTCTTCTGATGTCAGAATTGGTTTTACTTTAGCGTCTTTCTCTCTTAAAGTTGTATAGGTGCTAATTAATAAATTCGCAATTGTGTATTAAAAACTATAAAAAGAAACCACTAAGAATTTGAAATAACAAAAGTCGTGATACTCATAATAATAATTAGAACTAAACATTAACCTATAACCGCTAATACAATCAAAACATTATAAATTAAGTATATAAGGGGCGTCCTGTACAAATCGGTCGGCGTTTTGCGGCGATTTGTACAGGCGTGCTCGCGCCACAGGCCGACACATGCGAGCCCGCGCCGACACTGGGGGACTAATCTTGCTCTCACAAATCGGTCCACGCCGACAAATCGGTCGGCGTGACCCGTGAAATCACGGGCCGTGAGAAGCCAGCATTAGAAAATGCAACCTTGGTATATTATTTAAATTAATAAAAGTGTAAATATAATTATACAAACGAGTAGGATGGCGTACTGAAATGAACGTACTGCTCTAGTAACGTGATACCGATGTTGTGCGGAGTGCGAGAAAGGAACTCATTCGACCTACGGCCATCAATAACATTAAAAGTATTGTCATGGTCAATAAATCATATTCCTAGTGCAATAAAAAAGCGATCAATTTTTTTTTTAATTATCAATTTGTACTAAAATCTCAGGGTGCGTTGGGAGTCATATCTCCGGTTCGATGATACTATTCGCAGTGCAAACATTTTTGTACGAGTGAGTGGACCTTGTTAAACCACTCATATTATATGTATATATAAAATTACAACACAGTACAGCATTCCCTACCTCCCTATATAATTATCAATCGATCAAAACAAAACATATCAAATAAACTTATTAATAAAAATCGCAAATATGTCGAAGAATGATATGACGTCAACGAAGCTTTCATAAATATTTTGCGACCGGTGCTTCTACTATGAGATTATAGTAACAGTTTGCGACCGCGTAAAGTGTTTATATACAAAATGTTGTTTATTCTCGTGACCGCTAGGGGCGCTGTATAATTTGCCATACAAAATTGTGATTTAAATTACGCGGTCGCTAGCGACAACTATCATAGTAGATTCGTGGTAGAGACACTAGTCACTTCCATACTTACCTGACGCAATTACACAGCCTGTTCCAGTTTTATTGTCTTTTGCGTTATTTCCCATCAACAAAACGTACCTTTACAGGCAATATCTTAGTAATTGTTCATTATTAAATTCTACTTGATCATAAATAAATCAATTAAATCAAAATATCTTTATTTCATAGTAAGCAAATTACAAAAGTTTAGTGCGGCATTACTTATCATGACGCCCTAAACATTTGTAAGTGCCGTAGAACAACGTACCATTACGTCGTTTAAGTTCTTATATTTTATCGAAGAACGTTAGAGAACTCCATTTGGCCATACAAAATCTTAATAGTAACGTCATTGGTCTACAGCATAGTTTCGCAAAGTGGTCCCTACTGACCCCCAAAATGGGCTGAAGAGTCCTAGGGGGGGCAGTAGAGGCCTCGGAAGCAATCGGGAGCGTTGGTGCTGTCCAAGGGCTGCTAATGCATTTGAAAAAAGAACCTGAATTATATAATTTATTAACATGCATATATAATTTTTTTCTTTGTGATTTTTGTGTTAAGTTAATATAAAAAATACGCGTTTTCAATTATTTTTTGTGGTAGTGAACGTCGAAATTGTTTTTGTCTTGTCTAAGTGAGAGGTGAACCAAAAAGTTTGGGAACCTATGCTGTAGACTACACGTTTCCACACTTTTTGGCTCACCAGGTACTTCATTAATGTGAAAAAATGACTTATACGTCTGCTATGTAGTTATAACCAATACAAGACGGAACATATTCCAATTTACATACCATTAAAAACTTGAATTTATAGCATTATTTTAATACTTAAATTGATTTATAGCCTCAATGCCTAACTGTCAAACTTTTGTACGTATATTGTTACTAAATACGTTAACTTGTACGCTAAATAGACTTGAGCTAAGATTTATAAAACGAACTTTGATTTCGACTAAGTAAAAAATGACGAGCTAATTACGTGTTTTGTATATAATATAAGCACGAACTTTGCCTAAGTTTAAGCAAGAAATAATAATAATGTGCCAGACAATCACACCAACTGCTTGGTCTCAAACTATTAAATTCCTTCTACTATGATTACCAGAACAGCGGAATTCTGTCTGGGGCACTTTCCAGAACACCAAGACCAGAACAAATTTAGAAAAGTTAATTTACCAATTTGGTCCTACCGAGAACCTGGGACCTCCTCATCCAGCACACACAGTATAAATCGTTGGGCCACCGAGGTTGGCAAATTAAATTGAGCTTTAGGTTTACTTCATAATTTCTTGCTTAAATTTAGGCAAACTTCGTTTTGTAAATACGAGAAACTTGCTTCGTCCACGTCAAAGTTCGTTTTATATACAGCCGTAGGGCGCCTTCAAATTAGACGCTTGTAGAAGCGCTGCAATGTCTGTCGACACTGTGGCGCTGCAGCCGCGCCTAAGTTTTGCAGACTAAGAGTCGTATTCTAGGACTCTACTCAATGCTCAAGGTAGGATTTGTGTATGGTTTAAAGCACTTGATATCATACTCAAGTCCCTGCCATTAGGGTCGTATTTCCAGTGCAATCCTGACTTGAGCATTGAATGGAGTTCTAGAATACGACCCTAAGGCGCCCTTAGGCTGCAAATTCGAAACGGTGGCGCACATAGCGAAGCGTTCAGTGTGACACACGTTTGCGTGCAAGCCTTGAACGCACCACAACTGTTGCGAATTTGTTTCCTCAGTGTCGCGACGCCGTTGAGGTTGCGCTCTGGGCACAATCCTTCAAAGAAATCAATCTTTTTGATGGGGATTACACCTACTCCATACTGCATTAATTGCGGCCTCATTGAAGACATTTACCACGTATTGGAATGTATTCAAATCGAGACTCAGGTGGTAGTTGGGCAGTGTGGCTAGCATACGACAGACCGGTTGGTGTAACGGTGCACTGGCCTTTCCTCCGTCGAACGACGAAAAATTACTATACAACGTATATTTAAGTAGTCTGAATCTACGTTAGACATATACATAGATGAATCAGCATTACGGAGCGACATTACCATATAGTTGTACGGTAAAGTTCTTTCAATTTAGATTGAGAAAAGAAATAACTTTTTATCTATTATTATTGATACAAAGATCGAACAAGCACAAACAAAATCTCCTTCGATCCAAATGGACACGAACCAGAATCTGTCGCCTCAACGTGGTTACTGCTCTTATCAACTGAGATTTGGATCGAGTCAGATCTTACAAATATCTCTACGTGCTTTCTGTCGAAACTTTGTATTGGGTTTAAACAGCTTTTCTGTAGCGTAAAATCGGGCAATTAAAGCTTAAAATATAATTTCGCTGCTTTTCAAGAACAAAGGCTCTATCCAAAATTGACCCTTTTTGACTAGTTACTAAGATTTAATCAGAAACTGCATTGTGATCGGGATTCCAAAGCTTTTCATTGGCTAGAATAATCACATGACAACATAAGGATTGTCCATGATTCGTCAACTTTGAGCGGCAGACCCTTCTCAACTTTTTTACGCCATCTCCATAGTTTTGAGTCAGGCCACTAATGATTACATAATTATAATTCTATTATAATTCTAGAAAGCCATCGATTTGTAGACCCTTTTTTAGCTATAAAATAAAGGTGTAATCGTAGATTGTCATATAGTTACTCTAATTTTTTCGCCTGTTCAAAAGTTCACATTAAAATGGAGGAGCATATAAACATTAAGTATTTAGCCTTGCATCAAAAACAACAAGCTAGTGGAGTATTTTCACAAAAAAATTAACATTACAACTGTAAAAACATTATGATATTCAATAAAAACAAATATATCTATTTGTATACATATTAATGGAATAAAGGTTGCGCAATTACCAAGATATATCCTGCAGTAGACCAACCTACTCATCACTAGTTTTAGGAAGGCAACAATCGATCACGATTACGACGGAGCATATAATACGACACGTTCTCGTACACCAAGAACGTTATCATAGTGGCGGGGACCACACGATACAAGTTCGGTTGAAGACCCTTGTAGAAACCACGCCAGCCTTCGTATCTGTAATGTAGAAAACGTCGTGTTTAGTTTTTTAAACTAAGTGAGGATGCAAGCTTGAATTTACTTACCATTTTACGCAATCTTTATTCCATTTTAGATATTAAGAATTAATAGTGTAACTAACTATTACGATACATATTTTTAGGCTTTTTACAAACGACGAAGCACTTGGGACATCATCTTTGTTTGTTTGTGCACATCAGGTAATCATCATACTTCGGGCGTCTACCAATCAGACGCTTATAGAAGTGTGTGGCGCTACTGCAGCCGTGGCGCTACTGCAGCCGTGGCGCTACTAATTTTAATACAATATTTAGAAGCGCAGTTGCCACATTCACGATTTTTTTCCCGAATTGTCATTTATCATTTCCGAAATCACAGGAAATAAATTAAGATGTGGTTTTCGGTAATAGCTTTAAAATTATCAAAACAACTCTAAAAAAATCAGGATGCTTCGCAAATTTTTTTTTACTCTATTGAGCGTACATTGGTATTTTACTACAAAGATTGTATGGACCATATTTATATTATTTTATTTGGAAGCTATAAATCATGGGTCAGCCGTGTTTGTGGGACTTGTAGCCCCAAACGTCGGATCGTTTGAAAAAACAAATTTTAATTTAAGATTTTAAATTCGATAAAGATTCTTTCATTTCCAGTGCGTAGCAAGCAATAGCAAAAACCTAAAATCTCGTTAGATGTAATAGGTCTTGTGGAACAAATTCTTAGTTTTCAAGGTTTAGAATAAAACACTGAACGCGATTCTCAATTTGCTATCATTTATTGATTACACAAATTGAAACAATTAATTGGAACAGCGGATTCATATTGCGATATTTATGTATAAAAATATATTGATTACACTAACTGATATGTGGCCAGCCACCGAACTATATAACAATAGGAAAAAAATTAACATTTAAGTATAATGTTTCAGATTTTTATTACATCACATATTCATTTGGTGTATTGATTTTGTTTTTTTTTTTAAGATTCACACAATGGCATTGCGTTTTACGTAATGTCAGAAGCCATCTTTAAATTCCGTCACACTTTTTTTGTCATAATGGCGTCTAGGAAAACAGGTAATACAAAATAATAAATAGTATTGTAACTTTTTGCATCAAGCTTTATTCTTAAAATTTTAGCAAAGTTTTTTTATTAAAATAATATGCAATAGAAATTAGTGTTACAAAAATGTGACGCCACAAAAACTGGGTGGGGCGGAAGTGGATTCGTAAAAGCCGTAGTGCAACGAAAATTAGACATAGCCACTTCTTCAAAGTGCGAATCAATTTTTCCTCTATTTTCTACATTTTCATAGTGTCAATAAATAATGAAGATTTTTTCAATTATAAGTCATCTTAACAAAGCTAATTAATTGGCTACTTTATTGATGATTATTATTGTACTAAGCTTTTAGAGACTATAAGGCGAATTGATGGTTAAGGGTCATACTACATTAGGCTTCAAACTTCGGCAACGCGGTCAGTAGAGACTGATTTGAAATTCACATAAATGGCTTAACGTTAATTTACTCGGTAACAACGGCAATTAGCATGAAATATCGTTTCGGAACCACTTCCATAACCACATCACATACGACAAAATGGACAGCAATTACGCAATGGTTTCGTTTTCGGCTAATGAATACGAATCATTACGAGCGGTGGAAAATTGCGCGGGAGCTTGTGGATCGTGTTTATCTTTTTGTAAGTTCAACTACTCTAGGTAGCCGTAGACGTAAATGGGGAAATTGTGGTTACATACGGCAAGACTCTATTATGTCTAACATCGGTGAAACGAATATCATTCAATTCAAAACTAGCCTTTAAGGTCACACCACACTAAGCCGAACTGCACCGTAACGAAGAGGCGTGGTGGTATGTAAAAATGTTGTTTATACATCATTGTTTAAGGCTGCGGTGATTCACAATGCTGCACGAAGTGCCGGTCCGCCCAGTGCGGCTTAACCTTTATTACGAGCTCGATGTTGAAGCATAGCGCCAAATGTACCATAACCCTTTTGTCACTATACGGTCTACAATGAAGGCGGGTATACACTTATTAAGCCTCTAAGATAGAATCAGCTTCAAACTTGCAAGCACGTAGTAAAATATTATAGAGAAAAATATGACAAACTATTCTATTCGAACATTAGGGTTATTTATAATTTTACATATATAATTAGGTGTCGATTACGTTATATACATATCTAAATATAAACTATTCCAATTTTACGTAATCGTGCAATTTGTGACGTTTAACTATCGCCATCATTTGTTAATGTAATTCCATATAAATACGTCACAAAAGTACGCGATTATTAATGTATATTTAATATTTTAATTAGTTTAAAATTAGAAATATATTTATTTTTAATAAAGTACGTTTAGTATTTAGAAATGTATCAGTACATGATCCGACACCAAAAGCAAGTTGAAACCTAATCTATCTTTTAAATAAAGAACCTAACGTCGTCTCACCACACATGTAACGTTGTTTCTTTTTAAATCAAATTGTCTTTTTACAGATTTGGACCTAACACATCGCGACTAAGTACCTACTATCACAATTTTTTTAAATTAAAACTAAATTGTGCTACGCATGGCAACACTGCAAATGTTGCCACCTTTTTGTAAAAACTAGTGTTCAGTCGATCTGATGGGAAAGAGTACGACTACTATTTACAAGAGATTACAAAAATTATTAATGAAAACACAACATATGTCGTGAGACAGTTTACAATCTACAAGTAAGTATATTAAAAAGAATAATTTAAAAGACAAAAACATTTCTTTCTATTTCTTAACACTATACATTACACATTTCTACTAAAATCTTTAGATACACTGCGGTTCGATGGATAAACAAAGTTATTTGTTCTCAAAATCACATTGAGTCTGAGCCAAGAACATTGACTGCACGCCTGCCAGAACGTGTCAATACTAAAATTAAACAATTACCCATTAAAACTGCTACATACAGACATAATTGCTAATTGAAAATTACGCCAAAGACACTTGTACAAACGGAAAAAGAAATTGAACTTCAGAAAAAATGCATGTATGATAATAGTAAATAAATATAAACAATAAAAAGTCCTGCTTAAATCTAGCTTACCTTAAAACAATCCATATGACAAAACACCGTACAAAAACCCTGTGCGTTACTGTCGAAATAAATACAAAACAAACAAAGAATATACAGTTCAATAAATAGTGTGTACGTATTCCCATCAGATAAGCGTACCGTTTAATCGTTATTGGTGAATTTTTCCCATATGAGCATAATTAGGCAGATATTGGGCGTTACATGTAGGAGGTAGGGCGTTAGGCCTTTGTAGAAGCCTCTGATGCGTTCATACCTCCATGTTTCTTGGATGCAGTGCCAGGCGCCGTCGTAGACCCTGTGCTGGTCCTGCAGACGAGCCCGCACCACTTGATACGGATAGGTGGCGCCGGCAGCAATTAATTTCGATATCGCTGCGAACGTTAAGTACTCTACTGAAGTCTGGAAAAGAAGAAACACGTCATTTAGTCGACTTTATTTTTTAAATAAATGGACTCTTGACCACTGCCTAGCTCTGGAGCAAAGATAGGATCTACGATAGAACGAGTTCGCCTAGAAGATGCCTATTCAGTCGCAATTTAAAGATACTCGGGTTGTATGTGCTTGGAAACACAGTCGCAGGCAGGGAATTCCATTCCTGGGGTGTGCGCATAACAAAGCACACACTCAACATAGCTCATACATAGACAACCACAAACACACCCAAAACTCACGAGAGAAATAAATGTAGGCTATACAAATACTTCTACCGCCCCTTGATTCGAACCTGGGACCTCTGCGCGGCATGGCAACCACTGAGGCAGTTCGGTTACGGAGGCTTTATTTCCAACTTGTAACAAGGATCCAATAAATATAAATAATGAGTGTTTATGATAAAGTCAATTTTAGGAAATGAAACTATTTTTGCGGATTTAAATCGCGTATATTTGTTTTTTCAAACAAACCGACCGACGTTTCGGGACCTTTACAGGTCCCATGGTTGACTGAGTCAATACGCGATTTAAATCCGGAAAAATAATTTCATTTCCTATGTGTAACAATCGTGAAAACCTAAGAACTCGATAAGTCAATTTTAACTGAACTTAATTATCTACAAAATTTATTTGCATAAAAGACAAAACAATTTAAGAATCTTAAATACTAAGAAATATGTACTCCCTAAAACGAATTAAACGCGAAATCACTGAATGAATTGCCTGCTTTCAAGATTCATATGCGGAAGGGGAATATAAAAACAAACTAAACAAGTTCTTGTTAGAGCGAATCGCTGTGAATGGATAAACCCGCAGTGGTTCTTGGAGCAACAGCTGAGTGTAATTAGCCTTAAGTTAAATAAATGAATAAATAAAATAAAAAAATAGTTTTAACTGTAAGAAGTTCCAAAAGTTCTGAATTACTACAGACAGATAGCCGCAGTGTAGTGCAGCCGTTCGTAACATTACCACAATACATAGAACTCATTGAAATTCTTGGATTTTTAAAGTAGTTCTATCGAAAATCAGGAATTCCAAAGTAGTGTACAGAGCCTAAGGTATCTTTTGCATATTCCAACTTTGAATCTTTCAAAGAATATTCAAATGCGTTTATAATGTTTAAGACGTAAATTAATTTTTCTTATAATCTATGGTTTTTGTCTATGTGATCCCGAGACAAACCCGAGGTCACGTAGACAAAAACCACAAATAAAAAAAAATAATTTCGTTTAGCCATAAATATCTACTCCTAATAAATCTAAAGTTCGTATACAAAATCCATAACACTCGCGATTATAGTGAGCTTTGAGTTCTTAAGTCACGTTTAAAATACTTTAAAATGTTTAATTTATAATTGGCACAATTGTTTGGAGAGATTCGCGGAAAATCGTAACGACGACACGACAAGGCCTTTTATTATGATGTTTACACAGTTACTTTAAAGGTGAACGCACACTTTTCGTCGTCAGATTCAACGCGATAGGTAATTCATCTATTATAATCTCAGTACAAAGTACTAAAAAACCGACCTCAAAAATTCGTGGATTTACATTTGCCAAGTTTTGTTGAAATCAATTACCAGAAAGTGCGCGAAACTGGTTTCATCCCCTAGCTTGCCACCCTTAGAGGTGGAATATTTTCTTCAAATTTAAATGGGACAGTGGGACAGTGGTCCCATTTAAATTTTCTCAGTAGTGACTGAGATACCCTCTTTCCTACAATAAAGAATCATCAAAATCGGTTCACATATGTTCACACAATCTCTACTTGAGAGGCAGTAGGTCAAACCATTAGACTACCGCGACTTCTATAACAACACAACATATAACTATAACAGTACTATATAACATTACTGCTTAATAATCCAAATATACACATCAAGTGACTAGGGATAAGCACGTTTTTGCCAATTACTGAAAATCAGTTTTTTAATTAATCTTTTTCTTCACACCAATAGTTTTTTGGTAAATTTCATAATTTAAAAAATATACGACCAAATAAATAATTTAATAAATTATATAGATATTTTTATTTAACTTTAAACACACAAAACACAAATAATTTAAAAAGATACCTAGACACCAGAGATGGACAAGCATCCGAGTTTTAACCCGGCGCTTTGTTAAAGGCTGGTTTTAATCGGATTAAAACTCATTAATTACTTTTTAATTAACAGCACGAAATCGAGGGCAAAAACTATTTACAACTAAATATTTGTAAATCGAGTTGTGTAATGTAATGATATTATTACAAAATGTTTATTGCTTGCTTACATATTTCGCCTTTCTATTGAAACGATTCGCTTGAAAATCACATACATATATATAGAATAGATAACGCACATACTCAACATAGCTCCGCACTAGGGAAACCCTGTGTCGCGGGTGCCATGAACACACACATAGACTATCACAAATTACACCCAAACTCACGAGAGAAATAAATATAGGCCATACAAATATTTCTCCCGACCCGGGAATCGAACCTGGGACCTCTGCGTGGCATTCTGGCATGGTAACCGTTCGGCCACTGAGGCAGTTAAGACCTATACAAAAACTCGTTATCGTACGCACCTGAATCGATTTTCATAAAAATCGAATCGTAATGTTACATTTCTAGTAGTAAGTGAGATCCACATTGTTGCAAGTCGGGCATTGTGTGAAGAGGCAACTCCTCTTATTCGTGTAAGAAAGATTTTTTACATCGAAATTTGCACCTAGTATGAAATCATACTAAATTTCGTATTCGCCGTTTTCACTCACAATTTTGGGCAGAAATGGATTAAAGCGTTTGCGTAAAAACCAGATTAAAACCCGGGCGAGTTGATTGGGTTTTAACCCACTGCCCATCTCTGCTAGACACTTTTGATGTGTGTATTACCAAATGGCATCACATCTCACTTTCGTCGCTTGGATACAGAATTATGAGATTGTATAATATATTATCATAAATTTGACGTGAGAGCGATATCTTGAGGAAAACGTAAGTAGTTTTGATAACAAATATCACGTTGCCACATTTTTGTAAGAGAAATAATGTATTATCACTAATGAGGTGACCGTTTATCAGGTAGTTATACTATAGTTTTTCTACTTCGTGAAGTAGTGTGGTTTATCAGGTGGTAAGTTACGTTTCTTAAATAATATTTACTTTTACAATGTAAACATTATATGATTAAGAGGACTCAAATCAAACAGATACGATATAAAGGAAACAGACTAAATAAAATATATTAATTTTTTAAACCGATTCACTTTTAAAAATATAATATAAACAGTATATAACACATAACTGTGATTGGTCACATCGATTTTCCAATCGCATTTCATTCGTGATATTAAAGTCATGCAATTGGTTAATTTAAAAACTTTGTTCTTAAAGCGTCTTCATAAACGTTTTTAATAAAGAGCACACATCTCTATGGCGGTAGTTTTAGGGTCGTACTCTAGAACTCTACTCAATGCTCAAGTCAGGATTGCACTGGAAACACAAGCACTGGAAATACGACGCTAATGGCAGGGACTTGAGTATGATTACGAGAGCTTTAAACCATACTCAAATCCTGACTTGAGCATTGAGTAGAGTTTCAGAATACGACCCTAAATATCGCTTGTATATTACTTACTCTTTGAATAAAATAATAATGTAAATTAATAATTAAGAGAAAATTAGATCAAAATCCATATCAGGACTTAAGTACTAAACCCAACCTTCACTTCAGACTTGGTTAGGGAACCTATTCTTAACTAATGTAAACATCTGATAATCTTGAAACCCAGAGAATGGGTTTCGAGAATGTATAGGTTTTGACATTTATGGATAATATTTAATATAATAAACTGTACCAGAGTACCGGAAATTACTCCGAGACACCATGCAGAAAGGATGTTCTGTACCTGTGTTTTTGTGGATAGATTAAATAGTCGTATTTATTTTTTTTGAATATTTTTTATCTATACCTTGATACTTGATTTTTCATTTACACATTAAGCACAGCCTCGTGTCCGGATACATTGACACTTAATTTATAATAATAAAAAGTGGGTGCGCGTTATGTGTGCGCGTTATCTATAAATGACAAGAACATAAAAGAATATTAAGAATTGAAAGAACTATTAAGAATTGAAATTAAATATAAGTTTTTTTTATAATAATGCACAAACTCAACATAGCCCCGCACTAGGGAAACCCCGTGTCGCGGGTGCCATGGACTCACACACACATAGACAACCACAAATTACACCCAAACTCACGAGAGAAATAAATGCAGGTCATACAAATATTTCTTCCGGCCCGGGAATCGAACCTGGGACCTCTGCGTGACAGTCCGTTACGGCCGGTAACCGTTCAGCCACGGAGGCAGTTAGTATTTGTCATTTTGTAATTAAAACTAGTATCCTGTTAAATTAATTTCATTAAGCAAATTGTATGCCATAAAATTGGCTATATGTAGTGACGTAACAATGTTATTTAAGACCTAGACGTACGTACACCATAAATGATTTGATTTGTCCAACGGTTTGCGACGTGGGCGCTGGATGAGTAGGTCCTGGTTTCGATTCCAGATAGGTGCAATTTGACAAATAAACTTTATAAATTGTCTCTGGTCTGGGTGTTATGTGTAGTGAATTCCGTTGTTCCAGTACTCATAGTACAGGGAACTCCCTAGCCTGATACCAGGTAATAGGTGTGATTCTCCGGCACATTATAGTTCATTTATTAAAAATATAAACCACATCCTCTCCAATCGGAGATTAGACACAGAAAAATATAAAGGTTTTCTGCATCTAATGGAGCAACAAACATGTTTGACGTAATTCCACTTATGCCATTCTTCCATGAGGGGTGCGATATATTATAATCCTTTTGTGGTTTTCAGAGGAAGATAATAATCCACTCGACGCTTGAAAGGCAAAATGGGAAAAGCGACACTGTTAGTCATATTGAGTTATATACAGTTGGAATCACCTAATGTTTCTGATTCTAACGGTATATATAATTCAATATGACCAAAAGTGTCGCTTATCACATTTTGCCTTTCAATCGTCGTCACTAAATTTATATTACTTGAAGTTTAGGTGAATACACTCTGTTTGGTTAACACTAATTACAGATTTCTTACCACGGTATGAGTTCTTTTTATTTTCCCGATATTTTGAACGGTTACACGCTCCATGGTCACGGGTTGACTGGCCAGCGGCAGATGAAAGGTTTAAAAATAGACATATCTTTCTACCCTCTTTCGCTGTCGACGACAACCTTCATCTTGATTATTTGTGATGTCTATCCGCCCTCAACGTTTGGCGCTTCGTGATCTCGATGGCTTACGTACCAAGCGTGGTGCGTGATATTCCGGCAACAGTACTTGGGGATTATGCTCGATTCAGAGATAAATGTGGTAGACAGCTATGTCTGTTCTTAAAACTGTTGTCTACTGTCAGTCAACCCGTGATCAGATCGTGTAACCGTTTCGTTATGGGAAAAATAAAAAGAACTCATACCGTGGTAAAGAAACCTGTAATTACAGATAATCATTTAGCGGATAACCTCGAGTCTTAAAATGTATACCCTGTTTATTTCGATGTCTAATAATAAAACTTACCAATTTAATATCAATAGGCAGGTTGCGGTACTGATTGTACCTGTTCTTCATCTCCTCGTAGGTCATGAACTGCAGCGCGCCGTGTGACACGCCGAACATGCCCGGAACAAAACCCTGGAAACAGTCAGATTAGATTATAGATAACTGTTTTATTTCAAAAAACCGATCTCAAAAGTTCGTGGAAGTATATCTATTTGCCAAGTTTTATTGAAATCGGTTACGGGAAAGTGCGCGAAATCGGATTCATCCCCTAGTTTGCCACCCTTAGAGGTGGAATATGTTCTTCAAAATTTAAATGGAACAAATACTGAGGTACCCTCTTTGCAATAAAAACAGAATCATCAAAATCTGTTCACAAATGCCGCAATAATCGGGTAACAACATTAAAAAAACAATGGAATCGAGGACTTCTTCCTTTGAAATCGGTTAAATTCAATAAATGAATGAGTGCAATATTCTTTATTACACGTACAACCTAACCTCCGGTTAAAAAAAACCGACCTCAAAAGTCATTCATGCCCTAGTTTGCCACCCTTGAGGTGGAATATTTTCTTGAAATATAAATGGGACCACATCTGAGGTACCTTCTTTCTAATAAAAAAGAATCATCAAAATTGGTTCACAAATGGCGGAGTTATCGCGTAATTATAAACACACAAAAAAACAGATGAATTGAGAACCTCCTCCTTTTTTTGAAGTCGGTTAAAAATTACAATAGCAATACACACAGTGACAATAATAAATACTATACATTGGAATTTATGCTATTTTTTCAGACCTAAATCATGTTTTTTTTTTGCAAACAAAACGAACATTTCGAACTCCAGGGGTCTTACTATGAACTCTTATTACGATTCGGTTTAGGACCTAAAATGAATCGTTGTGAGACAGCGCTACATGAAGTGTATATCACCATCCCGCTTTTTTGTCGTTACGAACCTATACTGAACTGTAATAAGAGTTCATGGTAAGGCCCCTGGTCTCACGGTCACGACTGACTGGTGACATAGCTTGCACAAAAAATAATATGAATGTGGTGCATAAAGTGTTTATAGTGAGTGTTCTCAAATCATATTTTAAAATGTCAACTTGCGTCGTATATCGTCCTTTTCTAAGCGAAATAAAAATGTTAGCAGCGCGTCCTGATATCCTTCAGAATTTAGGGACCAACTTTGATAATTAAAAAGCTATTATCGAAAACATTTTTTTAAATAATAATAAAAGACTATAAAGTGATTACTATAGAAAAAAATGTTCTACTACTATGTTTATCATCTCTAATATTTCGACTGAAGAACTTAAAATTCAAAGTCATGATTTTTTTACGTTAAATATAAAATAATAAGTTAGTGAGCAAGAGATAACTTTATTGCTATCCCACCCTAGGTGGGGTCGGCACAACATGTATTTTTCTTCCACTCTCCCCTACCATCAGTCATTTTTGGCACTCATACATTTCTTATCCATGTTATCTTTCACACAATCGTCACATGACATTCATCCCTCCGTCACTGGCACCACTTTTTAAATTTATTGCTAAGTAGTATTAAGTAGAATTTATAGTTGTGAACAAAAGTATCCAACTTCTTTCTTTTTGCACTAGAACATTAGCTGTCAAAGTGAGAAAAGTAGGGAAAGGCGCGAAGTATCGATTCGAATACAGTCGTTCTGCTTATCAACAGCAAGTTGTTCAATGCAATCTTAGGCTAGAAATTTAGGAGATATAAATGGGATGCAATCAAAGACTATCTTCTTATAGAAGTATTGAAATAAATACACACTACGTATTAAATACTAATAAGTACCGTGCGCCTACTGTTAAGCGACACCCCTGTCCATAGCAGTTGCAGTGCCACTCAGAGCTTTAAATCGCAAAGATCTGAGGGACATTGCCACTGTGCCGGTCACCTTGAGACATAAGTTGACAAGTCTCATGTGCCTGTAAGTTCACCAGCATCCTTACCCTTCAAAATCGGATCGCAATAATGCTCATATTACTTCTAAGGGGCAGAAATAGCTAAAGCAGTACTTTCCTGGACGAACTCTTTCACAAGGAGCTCCACTGCTACTTCTCATTATAAATAGATTAAATGGTAGCGCACACTGACACATAATCGAACGCCTTTATGGAATGCGCAATTTTACTCGTTACAAGACCGTGACCATAGTTTCGCAAAGTGGTCCCTACCAGTGGGCGCTGAAGAGTCTTAGGGGCGGTAGGGGGCTTCAGAAGCAATTGTGGTGCGTTGCTGTAGTCAAGGGGGTGCTACCGCATTTGGAAAACTTGAATTATCTATATAAACTACACTATATAATATAATTTTCTTTCTCCCTAATTTGTTGTGTTAAGTTAATGTTAAAAATACGTGTTTTGAATTATGTTTTATGGTGATGGGCGATGAAATTATTTTATCTTGCCCAAGTCGCTCACCCAAAAAGTTTGGGAACCTATGCTGTAGACTGACAATTAGTGGAAAAATAGTCTGAAGAAAAGACGCAATGGGTTGTATTTTCATTCAAATGCCAACTGTTCCTTGCCCTTAGAGACGTCAATGATTTCAAGAAATACAGCTTTAGAACGATCTTAAGGATTTATTCAATTGCTTAGTGACGTGTGTACCTACATTGCAAATTAACAAGGAAAGACATTAGTTTTGTAATTGAAATATACGTGGAATTTGCTTACGGTTCAACACTTTAAAATTAAGTTTACCATCCTTACTACGCATTCCATTTTGAACCTTATGCAATGTGAACTAACTCTTTAACAATAAATGAACACATAAAGTACAAAAAGGGCATGTATAGTAAGAATCATGCGATTGGAGGGAGCGATATGAACGTAGCATGTGGAGCTTTGTAGTCACTGCCTACCCCAGTGGGAAACAAGTGAAAGTCTATACAGAATGACATTTTTTTGTTGACAATATTCTAGGGTGTCATTTGTACAGGGATCATCAATTCGAATTTATTTTACTACGGCAACCCTCATAAGGAGCGAAAAAGTTGTGTCCTAAAAATTAAAAAAAAACCATTGACTTACAATTATATGGACGTCGGGTCCGCGCTAAAAAGTGTCCGAACTTATAGGGCGTTAAAATCGTATACAGAGCGTCATTCACGCTTTAGTCTTCGTTTATTCGACTGACAGCGAAGCAAGCAAAATTAGACAGTACTGCGATGACATTACAATTTAAATTCAACGTTTTAGCTTTTTCATATTCCTTTACATGTCACTACGTTTAAATAGGTTGACTTGGGACATTTTTTTCGTGGTTTTTGTATTAGACCCGTCGTCCATTTATTTGTAAGTCAATGAAAAAAACAGAAATATTTTTCACCGGTTTCACCCCTCAGTGTTATTCGCATAGTGGAATCACCTCAAAAAATTTCATGAAATAAACAAATGTCACCCTGTATATAGAAAGGTACTTATCGAATACGACACAAATAAACAATAGCAAATGATAACAATGACGTCACCACAGTTCGTCAACCTTTTGGCCGACTGCACCAAATGAACAAATTATATTGTCTATTTTAGAGTGAGAGTAAACATTAAATTCACAAACAAGTGATTGCACTTTCATGAAGTTGCGTAATAGCTCGTTAACATTATTCATGACTGTTATACATATAAAATGGAAAGCATTCATTGCAACACAAAATATAAAACAGGGTTCGAAGTGATAATTATTACTGATTATCAATGATAATTATCACGATAAATATTTCATTGATCTTGATATTTCCAAAATTAATTGTACATCTCAATAGCAACGTCGGTCCATGTGTTTGTATCAAGCCGGGTACAGATTATTTGCAACATTTGTCATACAATTTAATATGTTCCCGAATACACAGCGTGCTCTCTATGTACACACGCCAGCTCCATCAAGCTACACATTGACGTATCTTGTTCTGTTCGTTGCAATGGAGGCGATTTTCGCACAAAAATATGTAGTCTGATGTGCCGTTGTCCATTCACAGCGGGCGTGTTGTGATCCGTCGATTGTCGGCTTTCCGACAAACACTTTGAGTGCGCGCAGTACGTTTTCCCAAAGATTTGTCTTCGTGATTATTTAGTTTTCTCACTGACAATGACAACATCGTTAGATAAAAATATAATTATAATTATCAGATTATCATGAAAATTATCAAAGAAAATTAATATCTCTATAACTTGACCAGTAGCTCAGTTGGTAAGAGTTCCATCGGGTCGAAGAAAATCTAATGTGTTCGATCTTTATATAATAATCACAATAAAAACTCGTCGAGTAATTTCACACAAAATCTCAATAATACATTTGATCAAAATTAATACCTTTCCAATTTCGAACCTTGATACAAAACGAAAGAACAAATACAATTTATTTAAAAAAAAAGATACAAAACGGTGTAATCCAAAAATCAACAAAGTCACGATCAGTAAGCTAACTCGGCGAGACTTAAGGTCCATTTAGATGGAGAGAGCGTCCTGCTTTCTGATGCGTACGTCAAAGGAATGGAATACTTTACACGCATCCCGCAAAGTACAATTTGGGGCTATTAAGGCTAGAGTGAATGGCATTTTTTAGGCAAACGCGTACCATCGTCGCTTAACATCAGGAGAGATTGTGGCCAAGCGTGTATCTATTATTTATAATAATTATATTTTTATTTTTATATTATATTAATATTTATAATTATAAAATAAAAAATTAAAAATCTTATTAATGATTTCGTCAAGTACAAAAACGGAAAATAAAGAGAAGGACAATGCTTTAGATATTAAGTCATATGACATTATTATTGAAAAGTTTAGTCAAATGTAAAGATTAGAATCTGCTAAAAGTAAAATATATATATATTACTATTATGGCAATTAACTAGTGTAATAAAGGTATTTTATTTATTACAAACTTTTGAAACGATTTTTATGAGACCGTTTCAAGAGCATACGATCCGATCCATGGATCGAATGAAACGCATATGATCCATTACTATCCAAAAAATCGATTCAAACCAAAAAATCGTGCATCCCTAATACGTATGTCTTATATCAATCAAGGTCAACAGCAGGTCTTTCAGCAGATTTAAATTCAACTATTACTATATGCCGCTTTAGATAAGAA